GTAACTCACACAGAGACCTGAGGCAGCACTGTGTGTGACTTAGCTGCTCTCCACAGAGGAAGATTTCAGTTCCCATATCCTTTTTCACGTCAGTTTAGCACCTTGTCTGAAATCTTTCATTTTTGCCAGAGGAGTTGTGTGACACAGTAGCAGGATCCATGCCCTGGATGGGATCCATCCATTTGGGAATGGCACCTGAAGGAGGTGGTACATTAAAAAAAAACCATTTTTTTGGTGGTGTTAGCAGTTAAATCCCGTGTTCACATGGCTACAGGTTTGTTCTTTGTTGCTGGCACCCACCTGCTCTGAGCTCCTTGTCTGTCCCATTTTTCTCCCCTGTTAGTTCTCCCTGACAGCCAAGCACAGCTTTCCTGATTACTTCAACATGAACGATTTCCCAGACCTTTCCCTCGGTGACAATTGCTTTAAAAGCCAGCAGAACACCTTCACTCACTGAAGCACCATTGCAATCAATCTGCAATGTCAAATGTGCAAGATGCATGTATTTTGTGATTGGCTTTTCACAAATGTTCAAACGAATGTTATATGTGTTGTGTTAGAAAGTTATGCTGTATCAATTCTCTTAAGTACTGTGGTAAATATAGTTTTAGGTTATAAAAAAAGTTAAAATAGAAACTATGCTATGTAGGATACTTTTCTTTAAAGAAAGGACTCGCACTGAGATAGCAGCCACAGGACACCTGAATCTTTCAGAGAAAAAGAATTTATTGCCCCATTATCAGAAGAAATGAACTTCTTCCTGCCTTGTTTAGCCCTGAAGATACAGTCAGGATAAAGAGGAAGAAATTGATGATGACGAGACAGAATCCTGTATTTGAATGGAATTTATGCATCATGTTTGAGGTGTATGAATATGCAACAGGCTATTGCTTTTAAGGGTTAATCCTCTGTTAACATTTGTCTGGGCTTATTTGCCCAGAAAAGGTACCCGGACTCTGTAACTCTTTGTCTTTATTGTCTCATATTGTCCTAATTCATATTGTCCAAATTATTATTACTCTAATTGTATTCCTATTTTTTATAACCATTTTATTACTATTACACTTTAAAAAGGTTAAAAACAAGTGATTGGCGTTTTCCACAATAAATAAACAAAGCTATGTTCAGCCTTTATTGGAAGCTGGAGCTGTGGTGGCTCTCAGCTGCCATGGCTGCAGTTTGGGACTATTGGGTATTTGGGATTTCCAACGTCATTCACTGCGTAATGGCCCCATCAGCACAGAGCCTTTGTGCCACAAATTGACACAAATGGGTTCCTGCAGCACCTTTGCTGACGAAAATCACAACGCTGACCTGCTTTTTGCCCCTTCAGAAAAATATTCTGCATTTTGTTTACTTATTGTGAAAAACGCCAATCACTTGTTTTTTAAAATTTTAAAAGTTTAATAGTAATAAAATGGTTATAAAAATAGCAATCTAATTAGAGTAATAATAATTTGGACAATTTGGATTAGGACAGTATGAGACAATAAAAATAAAGAGTTACAGACAGTCTGGGTACCCCTTTCTGGGCAAATAAGCCCAAAAAAGGACCCACGTTAACAGAGGATTAACCCTTAAAAGCAATGGCCTGTTGCACATTCATACACCTCATCCATGATGCATAAATTCCATTCAAACACAGGATTCTGTCTGGTCAGTGTCAGCTTCTTCCTCTTTATCCTGATGGTGTCTTCATGGCTGAGTGAGGTGGGAAGAAGTTCATTTCTTCTGATAATGGGGCAATAAATTCTCTTTGTCTGAAAGATTCAGGTGTCCTGTGGCTGCTATCTTGGTGTGAGTCCTTTCTTTAAAAAAAGTATCCTACACAGCATAGTTTCTATTTTGACATTATGTTATAACCTAAAACCACATTTAACACACTACTTAAGAAAATTAACACAGCATAACTTTCTAACACAACACACATAATATTCATTTGAACATTTGTGAAAAGCCAATCATAAAATACGCATTTTTCACACTTATTCAGCACTCCCCGAATGGCAATGTGGCACAGTAGCAGGTACAAAGGGTGAGTCTCCATTCAAGGCTTTTTCTCCCTGAGGCTGTGAATGAGGCCCATGGACCCTGACCCAGGTGAGGGGAGCCCTCAGGAGAGGAAGGTCCCTCCTTTTGTAGGACCAACATCTCTGCAGGTCCTGCACACCTCCCTTTGGCGTGCACTCCTGCTTTGGGATCTCACCTCGCTCTGCCTTGGCTCTGCCTGTCATCTTCGAACCCTCAGTGGGTGCAGCTGATCCTGCCAGCTTTATTTTCTCACCAAAAATATTCCTTTTTAGAATTCTAGGCAGTTTTTTTTTCAGGTTCATTTGTGTGGGTGTTGATAACAGTCTACCTAGAGAGACCTCAAGCTCTTCCTGTGAGAAATAGCTACTCACTTTTCATAGTTGAGGAAAGTTTATTAAACCTTATCAAAAACACAACAGAAGACTGAATAAAGAAAAAAGATTACAGCACTGGGAGCAAAGATTTTCCCCCCCATGTGCTCAGCCCCCTCACAATGGAGGTTTTTTTTCCTTTTTAACCCTTTAACCCCTCCCAAAGTTCTGTTCATTGACCCCTTCTTCACTGTCCAGTGGTGGAGATCTTCTCAAATCCTGACTGGAGGTCAGGTGTTCCATAGTGACACCCAGCCCTCCCAGATGTCCCAACTCCAGCTGGCCCTTGATACCCATGTGAGGGGGTACAACTTAACTATAAATCTATAAAACTTTTCTTAACCTATATACATGATATTTGTCCATTGATTGTGAGAGTCAATCATTGCATTACTCATCTATCACATTCCCGAATGTAAATTCCCAGAACTGACATCATCCCCTTGGACTCAGTGATGATGCCATACCCTTAGGTAATGATTATTGGTGCTGTGAGCAGCTAACTCTGATTTATAATCCCCACCCCAGTGCTGGCTCAGCTCTTGGGAATTCTGGTTCATGGTTCCTGAACAAGGTTCATGGGTTTTGCAGGTGACATCATGCTCAGGGATGATGCTGCTGGGGGCCCTTGGTCTGTTCAGCCTGGAGAAGGGGAGGCTGAGGGGAGACCTCACTGCAGTCACAGCTCCTTGTGAGGGGCAGGCACTGATCTCTGCTCTGTGGGGACAGTGACAGAACTTGGGGAAATGGCCTGAAGTTGTGTCAGGGCAGGTTTAGGTTGGGTATTAGGAAAAGGTTCTTCCCCTAGAGGATGGTTGGGTACTGAGCAGGCTCCCCAGGTTCTGGTCACTGCAGCGAGACAGAGCTCAGGGAGTGTTTGGACACTCTCAGGCACATGGGATTCTTGGGGCTGTGCAGGGCCAGGGGCTGGACTTGATTTCTGTGGGTCCCTCCCAGCTCAGCATTTTCTGTGATTCTTTGAAACACTCCCAAAGACCTTCAGCACACTGCTGATATTACAACAGGTAATACTGGGTAATATGGACAGCATAAATATGGACCATATTCAAATCATATTATTGAGTCTGTTGGAAGTGGTTGATGAATTTCTAACCTGCCTGGATAAACTTACCACTAAAGTGTGCAGGGGTAAATCAAACCTCCAAGGAGGCAGGGAAAAGAGGAAGATTTGTACAGTGAGGGTGGTGACAGGCTGCAACAGATTGCTCAGAAAAGTGAAAAATCCCTGGAAAAGTTCGAGGACAGATTGGATGGGGCTAGGAGCAATGTGATCCAGTTGAAGATGTCCTTGCTCACTGCAGGGGGGTTGGATTAGTGGACCTTTTAAGGTCCCTCTAAATAAACCATTCTATGGCTCTGTGATTCAGTGTCTCCATCATTTTCTCCCTCCTTGCAGCACAGCCCTGCACAGGTGCTCTCCCCTGCTGAGCCCTGAGCACAGTTTGCTGCTGCAGCACTCTCAGGTCCCCACTTTGCTCTCAGCTCCCCAGAGGCTCTTTATGGAGCTCTCACTCAGCTGAAGCAGGGAAGCACTCGAGCTGCTGTGCTGAGCATTAAACACTCCCAGGAGAAAGCAGCCACACTCAGCACCAGGAGCTTCTCCTGTGTCTGGTGAGACACAGCAGCTGCACTTCAGGTTTAGGTCAGGGCTGGGTGCTTTTAGTTTTTATTCTATTATTTTATTTTATTTTATTTTATTTTATTTTATTTTATTTTATTTTATTTTTCTTTATTTTATTTTTATTTTATTTTTATTTCATTTTTTATTTTTTATTTCTTATTTCATTTTTATTTTATTTAATATTTTTATTTACTTTATTTTATTTATTATTTTAAAAAATTATTTTAATTTTTAAGTTTTTTAAATTTTTAAAATTTTATTTATTTTATTTTTTACTTTATTTTATTTATGTTATTTTTATTTTATTTTATTTTATTTATTTTTTATTTTTAAATTTTATTTATTTTTTCATTTTATTTTATTTTATTTTATTTTTATTTTTAATTTATTTTTAATTTTTAATTTTTAATTTTTTAATTATTTTATTTTACTTTTTAAAATTTTTTTAAATTTTTTTTTTTTTTTATGCATCCTCTGTGCTGCTTTTAGTGCTGCAGAGACATTTCCTGAGTGTGACCCGTGGCACCTGCTCGTGGTGAGCACCAGGGACAAGGAGATGAGAGAGCAGGAGGTGTTTGAGTCAGACCAGCTATCAAAGGCACCTTCCCTATGTCTCAAGGGGAAATAAAAGCCCCAAGCCCACAGCTAAATCTATATAAAGGCAAACTCTGAATATTTCCAGCATTCAGAAGGATGGGTGGCCGTGTGATGCCAGCTGACAAATTCAAGCAGTCACTTGCAAGTGTGAAGAGCAACTAACACAAGAAGCTGAGTGCTGTGTTCCTTTTGGAAGCACTGGTGCCTGCTCCCTCATCAGCAGGTTGCTGACATGCCAAATTTCCTGGGAAACGGAGAAATACACAGCTTTAAAATAGAGACAGCAAAAAACAAAACAAAAAAAAAGCCCTCACAAGTTGTGTTGTACTTGTTTTATTACAGTGAAATCCTGTGCAGTGCTAGCCTACAGAGAGAATAAAAGCTACCAGTAACTTTTCATCAGAAAGGAGTCAATCCCAGATAAAAAACCAGCCTAGAAATCATGGCTGTTGTAAAATACAAAGTCTGAGTTGGGACCTCCGTCTGTCGTTCCGTTGGAGCAGATCCAAAGTCGCAAAGTTCTCCATGGAAGTTTCTCCTTTAACAAGCTGGGGAGGTAAAGAGGAGAAGCTTCCATAAATCTCCATAAATCACACAAGATGCTAGGAAGAGTTTTGCCTCAATGTAGGACACCCAAAAGGGAATTTTTTAGCCATCTCGACCAACCCTCCTATGTAGACGTGTTTGCCAATTATGATCCAGAGCAGTAAAACCAAATTATGGTGAGTTGCATGTATTACAGAACACAGTGTGGCTGAGAATATTGGTTATTAAAGATGCTGAAAGGTCAATGCTAACTAAAACAAAGTTAGCTGGGGATCAGAAATTTCTGTAAGTTCCACATTTCCAAGGCAAAGCCTTTTATCTCTCGTGATAAGGTGGATGTGAGCTGGGTGGCTGCACCTCTGTTCTGGGATCAGCTGGGGTCTTAAGCTCACATTGCCCACAAACCCCTGGCTCAGATGCATCAGCAGCACCCTTGTACAGAGAGTGCTCTGTACAAGAAGATGGTTTTTTTTGGGTTTAGCCACCTTTTTGTGCTCACACCCTTAGGATTCTCTGGCTGGCACAGCACACGCAGCCTGGGCAGAGCAGGGACACTGCCACTCTGTACAAGAAGCTGCTTTTTTAGGGTTTAGCCACCTTTTTCTTCTCACACCCTTAGGATTCTCTGGCTGGCACAGCACAGCAGGCCTGGGCAGGGCAGGGACACTGCCAGGAGCACCCAGAGGGACAAGGGGACATCTCCAGTGGGACATTACCTTCCTCCACAACGCGGTGGTAGAAGCACCAGGGGACACCGGCGGGGTGTGCCCTGAAGCAGCAGCCCTTCCTTGTGCACTCCCTGGGCTTGATGCCAGGGTAGCCACAGTTTATCCTGGTGTAGGGATCATTGGGACACACTTTCTTCACTGTAAAGCAAAAAAAAAAAAACAAAAAACAAAAAAAAAAAAAAAAAAAAAAAAAAAAAACAAAGGGAGGAAGGAGAATGTGTTACTTCGTGCTCTGTCTGTCCAGCACCATAGTTCAGAATAAAAGACAGGACACAAAGGTGAGGGCACTGGGCAGATGGGATGGCCATGATGACCTTCTCTGAAACAATTTCAACCACCAGATTCACTCAAATCCTCACCCAGCCTCCCAGGCAAATTAAATTCCAAAGGGTGATGAATTGCTGCTGTGCCCCAGGGATAAGAGGAGGCAAAATTCACCCCTGGAAGTGTCTGGCAGCAGCCCATCCTAAATGCAGCACTGGGGTGAAAAGTCCTGTGTGTCCTGCAGGGGTAACACACACACTGGCCTCAGAGCAGGTATGCCCATGACCTGAGCCCATGGTAACCCCAGAGCAGCCTGGCTAACACAGGGAAAGGACCACCCAGCCTTCTCTGCATGCCAGCCTCAGTTACAGAAAGGAAATAAGTGTTTTAGGAGGAAATCACAGCTCTTCAAGGCACTTAAAACTAAAATCCCAAGTAAAGAGATTATACCACCCAGCTTGAATACTTCAGTTTTCCTCTCATGGAGCAGTTCTGCTCAGAAAAGCAATTCTATGAGAATACCACCCTAAGTTGCTGCTGCTCATTTTTCAAGGTTTACAAGAGTTGCAGGCAGTGCTCAAAAGCCAAACTGTTTTCCTACTGTAATTCTGATCCCTGCTGACTAATTCCACTTTATATCAGGCTCTTCTGTAGGGTAACATTGCCTTTGCACCCTCATTTCCTTTCATGCCACCTGTGCAGCTGCTGAGACTGCTCTGAAGCTCTCCTAAGAAGGAGTTGTGCTGTCAGCCCAGCAAATGTAGCTCACACTGAGTTAATTAACACAGCTAATTACACTCCATTACTTAACACAGTTATGTAAAATATCCAGCTAATCCTAGAAAGACTAGGAGAGCACCTGTTATCCCCTCTGAGAAAATAATGGTAAAAAATAGAAGCATGGTGCTGACAGGTGAACCACAGAGCAAACCCACTTAAATAAGTGCTGAGTATCCCTTGCTCTACCCATGGACAAGACCACAAATGACACTGCAATGTGTCTAAGTAACCAGCACAGGTTGTTTGATAACTGAAAACCTGAAGGAAGAGCAAATATATTGTGTCAAGAGGATGAGGCAGGAGTCTGACAGGTAAGCAAGTCTCAATTTTGCATTTTACTGCCACTGGTCCCCTAACAGAGGTTTGTGCCCACTTTTCTTGCCTAAGGAGAAAAGCAGGACTGCTCCCTGGTTGTACACATTTCTGGATTATCAAACACGAGGTAAATCAGTGTTTCTGGCAGAGATATTACCTTTCTTTGGTTTGGGGTTGTAGCACCAGGGCACGCTGGGGACTGAGGCATTGAAGCAGCACCCAATTCTCTTGCACTCTGCTGCTGAGATCCCTGGGTAGCCACAGTTTGTCCTCTCCCTGGGAACCACTTTACACTGGCATTTTGCTGTTCAGGACAGAAGGAGCAAGTTACAGGTGTCAGTTTGCACTGCTGTCATGGAGGGGTGTTTATCAAATGCTCACTGGGAGCAATGCTCTTTCCCTAGATGCTTCCCATCTTTTCTGTCCCCTGCTAAGACCACAACCTGAATGGTTTAAAAGTTGCTTTTACACCACTACCAACTTTGGTCAGGGCTGTACATCACATTTTGAGAATCTGTGGTCTCACTTGCAGCCGAGCAAGTGGGGTTTGTGGGCTTCAAATTGACCACACCAAATGGGAAATCCCATAAACTTCAAATATTAGGCAATTAAATCTTTTCTGCTTTGCCCATCTCATGTGAAGAGGAAAAGACTTAAGGGTCCAGTGGATATTCAAATAGGTGTAAAGATACCAAATCTTTGCAATATTATAAAATATAGGATGTTGTGCAAATAGCTGCAGCAATGCTTTTAACATTTTAAGTCATTTGCACAGTCAGCCACGACCAAGAAATTCTGGAGCTGTCCTCCAGCTGCCATTGAGTGACTTGCTTTCCACTTCTGGAGATGCCTACATGACTTGCCTTTAATGAGGAGGCAGATAGACTCCTTTAAAACTGTATTCACGTGGCAAAGCAGCATAAACCAAATATCAGAAGAAAATTTAGGCAAAGGTGGCTCCTGTTCCAGCCCCAGTCCTGCTCTAGTGACCACCTCTGCCTTTGCAGCGGGCTCCTGGTTATTCCAACAACACACGAGTCCAGCTGCAATCTTTCTTTGCTATTGATCTCTCTGATACAAACTAACAAGCAGGCTCCACTTTGGGGATGAGCAGCAGCACAGAAAGCCATTTTCTGTCTGGCCTGCCAAAGCTGACAGGCTCTGGCTGCCCTCGGTGGGATGAGGGTCCCACACGTGCCTGGAGGGCAGCAGCACATGGGGGTACTTACTTGGAGGTGCACTTCCCTCCGCCAGGGTGCTGAGGGCTATGATGAGGGTGATGGAGAGTGCACAGACCACCTTGAGATCCATGGCTCTGGCAGGAGGAGAGGAGGAGAGGTGCTGCCTTCCCTGGAAGCCGCGGGTTTTATGCGCTCCCCGTGTTTGCCCAGCGGGCTCTGATAACATTGTTCCCTCTGAAGCTTCACCCAGAAGGTTGGGTTTTCTTTTGTTTGCTTAGGAAGTGTTGCCATGCATATTGTGATATCCCAGAGATAAATTTCTGGGCTCCCATGAGCTGTTGATCACATATCTGTTACGTACCTATAGATCCATGTCTATTACGTGATCCCACAATCAAATGGATGCTGCTGGGTGCCTCTGGCTGCCAGATGCTCTGAGTGCCAACCTTCATTGTGCTCTTATTTCATTGCCTTTAGAGCATTTTAAGCCTCTAGGCAGTTTTATTTTCCAGTCATTACTAAAAAACATGCACATGTATTTTCTACTCAGTGTATCTTTTTCTGCCTTGATTTTCCCTGGCTTTATGCTTACTCTGAATCAGGTGAGGGAGGAGGGCTGGAGCTGTGATACCTACAAGCTTCAGGAGAGCACTGTGCACCTGAAAAAATACATAAACACAGAAAATGGAAGGTGTGGCTGAGAAATACTGAGCACATAAGGCCACTTATGTTGGTTTCCACACAAGGGGGTTTAGGAAAAGAAGGTAAGAGCAGGGAAAAAACCAAACCCCAAAAGCCCCAGAGGTCCAACACCATAGAGACACCAGAGAAGAAATGAGAGTTTCTGTGTGATCTCAGCCTATCCCACAGGTGCTGTGCCCACCCAGGCATCAGTCCTGAGAGTCCCAGCTTCATTCTGGAGTTGCTGCCCTGTGCAAGGCCCTGTTCCAGAGGTGCCACCTCAGGGGCTGCCCCCATCCCCTCTGCCTGATCCCCAGAGAGGAGCAGCTCTTCCCAACCCATCCAACACCACCTGCATTGGTTTTGACAAAACCAAACTTCTGAAGCACCGTGTTTGACCTAATAATTTCCTGATTGCTTTTCTCCTGGTTTCAAAGGTGGCCTCCCAGGCAGCCTTTGGGTTGTTTTGGCACAACAGGCCTTAGGACTTGGACTGCTGAAGGCTTTTATCTTCCTTATGGTAGGGCAATTTCCTACCATTTACTGTAACATTTCTTAACTTCTAGCTACTTGTCAGCTCTTGAAAACAATCAGAGCAGGGCCAGGGAGGGGGGAGAAGCAGTGGGATGGTGGAACCATCTCCCCACAGGAGGCACCTGCAGAGCAGGCAGGGCAGGCTGCAGCCCCTTGGGTGCTCTGCAGCATCACTTTTCCTATGGGAAAACCACCAGGTGACCCTTCCTGGTCATCACCAAAATAAAGAGATTCAATGCACTTTTTGCATCTTTGACAGAATTGTGTCTTCTTGCTTTTGAATATTACTTATGAATTAGTTTTGTGCATCTTTCCATTACAAAGCTCAAAGTGAGAACTTTCAGCTTCTTATGCTTGTGTTTTGGAGGAAGTTTATTTGTTGAAAAGTATTTCCAACAAAGGGGGAGGGATTTTGTCCTACAAGGGAAAAAATAGTAGGGTTCTTTTTCCTAAAGGTGAACTTATTCAATACTGTATGAACTCTATTTATATCCATCCCTATTTAAGACATGGGAGGCATTTCTCATTGACAGCCACAATTGATAAATTAGATATTTTGTAGTAATTGTAAATTAGATATTTTAGTATCCTCCATGTCACAAGAGCCCAGGCTGCAGGCAGAAGAGGGAGATGGAGCAGAAGAGGCAGAAGAGGGACATGGATCAGAAGGGGTGGAAGAAGGAGATGGAGCAGAAGGGGCAGAAGAGGGAGATGGAGCAGAAGGGGCAGAAGAAGGAGATGGAGCAGAAGAGGGAGATGGAGCAGAAGGGGCAGAAGAGGGAGATGGAGGAGAAGAGGGAGATGGAACAAAAGAGGGAGATGGAGAAGGGGCAGAATAGGGAGATGGAGATGGAGAAGGGGCAGAATAGGGAGATGGAGCAGAAGAGGGAGATGGAACAGAAGAGGGAGATGGAGCAGAAGAGGCAGAAGAGGGACATGGATCAGAAGGGGTAGAAGAAGGAGATGGAGCAGAAGAAGGAGATGGAGCAGAAGGGGCAGAAGAGGGAGATGGAGCAGAAGAGGGAGATGGAGCAGAAGGGGCAGAATAGGGAGATGGAGCAGAAGAGGGAGATGGAACAGAAGAGGGAGATGGAGCAGAAGAGGCAGAAGAGGCAGCTGGAGCTGCAGCAGCTCCATCACTCAGCAGCACGGATCACATTTTCACCTCCATCACTTAGAGAAAATGGACAGAAAACTTTAAAATCCAGTTTTCCCCTGATGTGCAGAGGTCCACCATGATGCCTTGTGCAGAGAAATCATGGGGAGCTTTTCCAGAGCCTGGGAGATGGGCAGTGAGGGTGGCTGCAGGAGGAAAGCAGCGATCCCGATCTGAGGAGGACCATGGAATTCTCAGCAGATTATCAGCCCATCGTGTGAGTCAGCTGAAACTGCAGATAAGTTTGTTGGTCCTGCTCCTTTCTGGACATTAATCAAGCCCTTATCTGCTGGCTGTCACCCCTTGGGCCTGATCCCAGCTTCGGGCACAAAGGCAAATCTGGCCCCGAGCTCTCGCTGCGGAAAGAGCGTTTGATTGGCATCTCAGAGCAAACACAGCACAGGGAATGGGCTGCCTGCTTTCTGCCAGGGGATTACTTAAAGATCTTTAATATGTTTATATAGCAAAGCCTTGAAAATTATCTGGGGTTTCCCTGTAAATGTGTTTCCTTCTGAGAGGCCGGCACCTGCCTAAAGCTTTCGGTAACTCTGTGATGGAGCTCGGGCTCTGCAGGGGCCCGTGGCCAGGAGGGGCCTGGAGGGCTCCTTCCTCCTCTCCAGGCTCCTTCCTCCTCTCCAGGCTCTGTGTCCTCCTGTCAAAACCCAAAACATTCCTCTGGCTGCCCTAGAAGACTCGAGACCCTGGCAGGAAGCTCAAAGTCAAAGACACCTGTCCCTTTGGTTTTAACCCACAGAAACAATTACCAGCTTCATGTGAAGAGTTACAAACCACAAAAGTTTGAACAGAATGTTAGTGAATTTATCACAAAGTAAAAACGTGGAATTTTGGAGTTTTTGAATGGAGGTTCAAGAAGCAAAATAAAAGAATCTAAGTGTGTTGAATCTAAGTGTTCTGTGTTTCTTCTTCTTTTCCTCCATCTTCTGCTGCGACAGTGACAATTTTAGATTAAAGTAGAGAGAAACTGCCTAACATAAGTAATAAGTATTACTTATAAGTAGTAATAATTATAATAATCATAATAATAATAACAATAAATAAAACAATTTAATAATAAAATATTTAGAATAAAAATAAATAATAATAAGTAAAAAAATATTGTAAATAAAATACATGTAGTTTCTAGTATAAAAAGTTAACACCACCCCAACGGAGGTCCATGTGCCTCAACCCAACCTGCTGGACAGACCTCAGCAAGTCAAAAAAAAAAAAAAAAAAATTAGATAAGAAAAAATAAACAACCTTAAAAACCATAGCTGAAGAATCTTGTCTTCTTCAGTGGCAGAGCTGAGAAAAAAGACTCTTTAATACCTTGGAAGCCATTCCAGCAACACCAAACCCGAGATCCTCCCTCATCATCCTCCCCTGGTCCCTTTCAGCTGCACTGGGGTGTTCTCATTTCCTTCCCAGCAAGGAGAAACCACAGCTGGATCTTGCTGTGGAATGGTGGCAGCCTAAAACTCTTTATTCTCCTAATCCAGAATTTTTGAAGGACAAGGATGGGTTTTTTTCTATCTCTTTTCACTTAAAATAACAAGCAAACAGTACAACTTTGATTTTCATCCTGAAGGGAGTGTTTTTCCCTGAAGGGAATTTCTTTTTGTGGTAACTCTTCGTTTGGATGCTGACATGAAGAAATCTGTCACTGGGCCAACATCACTGCTGATCAGCCCACAAAGTAAATCCCAAGTTTTTAGTGCTCTCTAAAATAAATCATCATAACAGAGAAAAAAAATCAGTGGCAAAGGAAGGGGGTGTCTGCAATTTGATCCTTCCAGCTGTGTGAGGCACAGAAAATATTAAGTAGGCACATGGAATTCCTCAAACCAGGACAATATCTATATCAGATAACACTGAGGGGTCAAAAACAAACAGAGAAAACCCTACATCTTCATTTTGAAAATGGACAGTTCAAAATGACCCCTGAGATCCCTGGCTTTGATAAAGATCCCTGCCACAGATGTGTTCATGCAGTTGTCAAAATCAACTTGAACTTTGTGAGTTCAAACTCCTTCAGGGGAATTTTTTTTCAAAGAATATGTCATTCCTGCAAACCACAGACAGTGCTGGAAGAGGACTTTTGTCACATTTCTGTGGCAAACATCCTTGCCCAAGGTGAAAAGAAAGATTTAATTACTGAAGTGAATCAAATGTGTAACTCAGAGCTGAGTCAGATCTAAAAGCCTGAATTTCACCATCCAATACACTACAAAAAGGTCTGATTGTGACTGCAAAGCCCAGTGCCAGCTCAGAAATACTGATCTGAGCCAGTAATTTTCCCTAATGCTTCTGGGATCTCCAAGCAGTCCGTGATCTCAGCATTGCCATCATTTTCTGTGAGAACCAAAATAACCCCAGAAAATCCTTATCCTTCCTGAAATGAGGTGGGGACCAGCCTGTGGAGAAGAGGACACACTGGCTGGAGCCAGCAAAGCAGGGAAATGTGTATTTTGTTTATTTTCTAGACCCCATCAGATATGTAGTGACCCAGAGAAGGAAAGAAACTCCTAAAAAATGCAGATCTGGTTGAAAATGTGGCCTCTGAAAGGTCTTGTTATGATAATGGTTATGATGCATTCCAGTTTACCATGCCACAGGCAATGAGGGAACCCAAATCCTGACCTGCTACCATCTAAAAAGGGAAAAATAAATCAAGAAGACTTATTAAATTGGGCTTAAAGGAAGAGTGAAATGTGTGAGGTGTTGGTAAACAGCAGGGTGCTATTGAAAGACACAATCTG